CAATTTCATTTTATTACATTGCGTATACGCCGCATTAATTTTGGTCTAATAAAACCAACAACAAACTGCACAACAATTTCAAATTACATACATACATGTGTATGTCCACATTCAAGGATACAAGTTTTAAAGAATTTTTACGGCTGTCACTTTTGTTTTTGCGCCTGTAACTGGCAAACTGTAAACTTAGTTAGGATACCAACATTTTTGGAATACCCCGCAAATGGTATGTTCTTTTCTTGGTCGCGTCTGTAACGTAAGCATTAAAGACGATAAGTGACAACAATTGGTAAAGAAATTTGATTTAATTTTATTGCTCTGAATGGGAAAATTGAAAACCATAATTTTTAAGCTACATGATTTAGGTACAGCGTATCTCCAAGTCGAGCTCTCACAGCTCTCTCGACTCTCTCCTATTCGAACTTGTTGTCATCGAAAACTTGTTGGCTAAAATGCAAATCTTTTTCCAAAGTCCAGTGCACCCGATATGTGTGTGTTTTGTGTGTTTCCTACGACAACCTTAGGTGTGTGTGCATCTCATTTTTGTTGAATTTAATTACCCAATGTCAGAAATTTGCATTGAATGTTATACGCTCAAGAAACAAATTTGTGCACATTTTTTAATTTCATTTTATTTACTTTTGGTTTTTTTTTTTCTTTCGGAAACACAAACTTGGAAATTTTCCAGTCAACAAACAAACCAAGTTAAGAATGTTGTGCCTGTGTGTGTGTGTGTGTGTGTTGTGTTTGTGTAATTTGTGGCATTGGCATTTATTGGCCCAACCAGATGCTCAGCATGTGTAAGAAGTTCTTACTTAAACCTTAAATTGTACACAATTCGCAATTAAATAAACTTTAGTACAACTTTCGAGAATCGCAAGTTGTTAGTTTGCATTTGGAGCACGTGCAATTTTCCATTTTTATACCGAATTACATCTGAGATCAAACTAAATATTTAATTTGAATGAAAATGCTATACATGCTATGCTTTAAAGTCTGTGCAGCTTACTTTTACAATTTTTCAATTTTGTAGTAAAAGTTTATTGCTTTTATTGTGTATGGCATACACGAAATATTTATAGCAAGCGGAATACATATATAGTTTCTCTAATGTAAGTATATTCTGTTTAATTTCGTTATTTTCCACGACGACAGATAAACGAATAAGGAAAATGCAAGTTAAATGAAAATAATTTAAGCTTCTGTAATTTACAGAAAAATTACAGCTGACAATTCAATACTTAATAGTTGTCTGTTGCTCATATCTGAATATTTTGACTTGTTTTTATAACCTGAACCAAAAGGGCAACAACAGCTGAGCCGATAGAGTCAGAGACTTTAATGCCTATAGAAATTTGGAATATAAATTTCCGTGTTATTGAATTTTACCGATAACTGCCATCGTCTCGCAAATAGCGATACAAATCGATTTTCGATAGCAATCAAAGCTGCAATTTTGAAGACATAAACTTTCAATTGATTTGCAGAATACTTTGACTTATTATTGAAAAACTCCGAATTTCATTAAGACACTCAAACGAGTTCACATATTGATCTAATTACTATCAGCCGGGTGCAGGGTATCTCGTAGTCAGGCCCACTCCTCTGCACGATTCTTAGTTGTTGTCGTTGTATATTTTACAGGACAGGCTTACTAGCCACATTTGTTTTCTGGCCAATTTCGTTCTCCTCGCTCAACTGCAATCCGTTTATGGCGTTTTGGCAATTGCGCTTCTGCTGATTGGGTCGGGTCGGGCTCAACTTTCCTGGCGACTGCAAACTGTAACTGACTTAAACAAACACTCGAAAACACAAACACACACACACACACACATATATTGCAGCGATAACTGTGCATATAAACTTGTCCGTATGCCCATCTGTCCGTCCGTTGTCCACAAACTAGTTCCTCAGTTTTGAAGCTATCTTGATCAAATTTGGCATGTTTATTCGTATTTTGTGCTGCAAGCAGTTCATATGCCGGATGGGTTTACTATATCTTATAGCTGATATAGGAACAATCGCTCTGGATGAACAACTCTTTATGCCTAATCAAATATCCCAACAAAGTATTATCAGACCAGGCGTCAGTTCTTGTTAAAATTTAGCTGTCGGTAATTTGACTCCGGGCTATAAGCGTATGCAATCGTCGGCGTCCTTTTAGTTGTTCGTTTTTTTTTGGTTTTGGCAAACAACCTGACAACTTTGGAAAAAAAATTGTGGCAGACCCACAACATTGTCGACATTCTTGTTGTTCTTATTGTTGTTATTATTGTTTGCTTGTGCCTGTGAACAATTTGAGCGCGCTAAAAAGCCAACAGCAACAAATATGTGCGGATTTTTTTCAGACTTTGTGTCTGAAATGTTGCTATTGTTGTACTCGCCTGTCGCTTGTTATCGCGTACTGTTTTGACTGAGGCAGCACTTAGCTCTACTGGCTCTACAGCACACAAAAACCAGCCAATGCCGACGGGTGAAGCATATAAAAATGCCCTATAAATAACACTAGGTCAAGCCATAAATAGTTTGGTAATAAAAACAAAAACCTGCCAACTGGAAACAGAATATGCCACATGATGTCAGACATTTAATAAGTCTTATATTGACTAAGTTTTATTTGGTTATCTTTCGGGACAAGATTTTTTTTTAAGAAATATTTTTTTATTCATTTGAAGCTTTTTTTTTTGGTCGTCTGATTATAAAATATTTCTAAAAACAAGAAAACGGCAAAAGTTATAATTTTCCCTTTGACATCTACGCAGAAAGTTGCTTAATAAAGAAATATGCCATACATACATATATAGTACATACACACACACACACACATACATACACCGAGATTGGCTTTGAATTGACGCTCATGATTATTTATGCAAAGTGAATTAGAAATTTGTATGGCTTCGATAAGCTGCAAATTAATTTTGCACAGCATCAGACATCAATGATGGAAAAAAGGCGAACTGTGGCAGAAGCCACATTTACAGGTAGACATCAACTGGAATACAGCAACCAATTGATATTTGTACATTTGTATATAGCGAAGCCAGCAAAGCCAATTTCAATGTGTCTACATATGTATAAGGGTATTAGTACCATAGATATATAGATAGAAAATTGTCTGTATCTGATAAAAGCTTTTCGTTTTCTTTTTTTTTTTTGTCCACATCGTCTTAAATATAAGTCGCAGCCAACTAATTTGAAATACTTAAAAACCATATGATTGTGTATTCAATATACGATTTGACAAACGAAATCAGGTGTTTGTCTTGGAAACGCATCTCAAAATAAATACTGGAGGAATTGCAATTTACTTTTAGTTCCGATGCACACTGCTCGAAAAATGCAATGTTAAATTTATTGGTACACATGTCAAGCCACAGTCACGCACCACTCACACCAACACCAACAACAATACCAACAACAATACCAACAACAACAACAACAACAATACAACAAACAATAACTGCCTTACAGCACCAAAAACGTTCCATTAAATTTACGTTTTACAATTTTAAAACACAAATTACCTGCTACATAAAACCAAATAGTTGCCAGCCAGAAGCCCGGACTTACCATTGATTGGTATAGTTCCCAGCCCGGGGAGTGTGTGGTTGCTTGGCTGTGCGGGTGGGTGGGTGTGTGTAGACTGTATTGCAGCAACAACTTTATTGCAGCAAACTTGCTAAAGTTTCGTATTTGAAAATGATTTGTGCAGCACAAGTGGAATAAAGTGTGAACGTTGCAGTCGGGCGTAACCGACTGTATAATACTCTGACACCAATAGGTACTAGCATCTGTTAAAAAGTGCCTCAAAACAGGCTGAGTGTAGCCTAGAAATATCGATAGTTAAAACAGGTTCCTTTGTAATCGATCCTCCAAGTTTGCCTATGCGGCAGATGTATGCTTTTGGGAACAGGCCAAAATGATTGGTGTTACTAGCAATATACCTTTAAAATTTGGTGACTCTGACATTTAAAATTTGTAAGATATATGGTTAAATCGACTTACACCAACAGATATATCGGTTTTGGAAGGCGGCGTGGGCGTGATTATCGATTTTTATCGATTTCCTAGCCTCGTAGTGGACGCAGCATCGCAATTTTGACAGACGGATATGCGGATATATATATATATACCAATATACTCGAATACCTTCAGTATTAGATTATATAGGGACGAGGGGTGCTGGGTGAAATGCCGTTAAACTCTTGTTGCCAAATAGTGCAACAACCAACAAGCGACAGCAACAACAACAACAACAACAACAACAAATACCAGCAACAATAGCAACAGCAAACAAATCGAAACTTTTTTGTGTGACAAAGACAGCAAGCACAAGTGAAAGAGCTACCAAATGGTGCCGACAATGACGGAGAGTAAGACAGGCAGCCAGAGAGGCAGAGGGGAGGAGAGAAAGAGAGAGAAAGTAGTGGTACACACTATAGAACGTTGCTAACATATAAGCATAAGTTATTGCTTAACAAAAAGTTCTTAAAACACCATTCATTGCATGCAGTTGAACATGAGAAATTGCTGCTCGATGCTGGTAGAGACTTGCGTTATCAGTGATGACAACTATGGATTACCAAAACAAGACAGTAAATATAGAGAAATATTGAAAAAATATTGGGTGAATTGTGCCCGGCAAAGGCATATCCTTTAGCCTTTAGAGTATATGCTATTAATTATCATCAAAAGGCGAGTCGATGTACCCTGAACAATAACATCAAATTTGGAATGTAACTTCTCGTATACAATGCGCATATCAAGTTTATTGTATTGTTGGCGATAACTTCACCATTCACATACAGTTATCGATATGTACTTATCGATACATTTAATTTTGAATGGATTGAAGTAGGCTAAGTTATAGGAATCGAACAGTGTATTCATTTTGTACATTTCATTTGAATTAAACAGCTCGAAAATTGTATTTCGTTTTTAAATAACTATATTTCGTATAATTTGCAAAAGTGCAATTGTGAAACTAGAAAATCAAAGATTTAAACATTCATTGTGCAAATTTCAGAGTAACTATTCGATATTGTTTGATTATTTGTATTTTCGCAGAGTGAAAAATGTTTTGTGGTCTTCGGTTAATTTTTAAAAGCAAAAAAAATGCAGTTAAACGCAACAAAGTAAACACAGAAGCCACCAATAAGCCTTCAGCAGTTTTAGCTGCTGATCAAGTTTTAGTACCAGAAAAACCAGCTATAAATGAGTATCCAGATGGTAAAACTTCGGCTAATTTTACAGATTTAGCTGCTGATAAAGAGTCAGCCGTTGCTTTAGCTGAAGCTGGAGTAACAAACAAGTTTGGATTGATGCCATATGATTATAATTCGGTTGCACCGCTGTTCAAGCATCCATCGCAAAATATATGGAAACTGTGGTATTTCTATTATGATCGCACCAAGGCCTGGCCGGACATGCAAAATGAAATCACTAGCGTTGCCACAGTCGAAGACTTTTGGGAGGTATATAATCATATCAAGCTGCCGTCAGAGATCAAATTGGGTTGCGATTATTCGCTCTTCAAGAGCAACATACGCCCCATGTGGGAGGATGCTGCCAATAAGTATGGCGGTCGCTGGGTTCTCACTCTCCATAAGGAACGCACAGACGATTTGGATATCCTTTGGGAAAATGTGGTAAGATCATCAGCATCATCAGACAATTGCAATCGATTCACCGTCTTGAGTCAATTCACCCTTAGATGTTATGCTTGATTGGCGAAGTATTCGATTATATGGATGAAATATGCGGCGCTGTTGTCAGCATACGTGGACAGACTAACAAGATATCCATCTGGACATCGAACGGATACAATAAGGACACTGTTCTGGCAATTGGACACAAGATACTTCAAACTTTATGCCTGGGTCAGAAGAACATGATGCATTATCAGTTGCATAAGCATTCGATGGCCAAGCATGGTTCCCATATTCTGGCCACCTACACTCTGTAAATGCCTTGGAACCATTCTTCCAAAATTACGAAACAATTTGCTTTGCTATTGTTTCTGTGTATTATCGAGATCGGTCTTTGAATGATTGTTGTATAGTAAGATCTGTGTTAATAAAAATTGCTAACACATTGTTCCATGGGATAATAAACGAATTTAGTTCTAGGCTGAGCCAAAATGTAGATTCGAAATTTTAGGCAGATTGACTCCAGTCCACAAGGGTTTGTATAATAACCATTCAGTATTGTTGAACGAATATTTGAATTTAATGAACCTACTAAATAAAATAGAGTAATACCCAATTCAAATTCACCAAGTTCAGCAATGACTCGAGATAAGCAAGTGTAGAAGCCGTTAAGACCACAATAATATGTTTATATGCTGTGGCAAGCTAGAAACCCGGCCAGGTTGTCAGGTGTTTTAAGACTCGTAGTATACTATGTGTATTATTGTCCGGAAAGCTTCTAAGCAAGCAGCATTTGGCATTTAAAATTCCCATCGGTAATATGCGAGAGCTCTTAAAGTATGACTTTTCAGATACACTGAGACAGCGCCGTTGAGTTCGGTGTCCCAAGTTGGCCAAGTCAATGAGCGGCATCAACAAATAAGCAAAGGTCCGCATAGGAAACTACCTAAAATAAATGCAGACTACAAATAAATGTGTGTGTGTCTGTTTGCATGCATACATGTATATCTGTGTATGTACACTTTGAACAAAAATCAAAACTAATTTTAATCACCGCAAAATTAAAATTAAAATATTTTTTGTTTCTTAGAAATAATTTCAAAATAAGCAGAAAAAATAATGTTATAAAATTAAAAAGGCTTTTTCCAATTTTCCAATATATTTATTTTCTGATAATAGAAAATAGTTATAAATAGTTTAAATGCAAACCGTTAATTTTATAAAAAACCATATAAGAGTTCCTTTTGTATACACAAATAAAAAACAAACAAGGAATGCACCTGCTTTTAAGAAAGAGACAAGATTTCGTTTTAGAAAAATACTTTTTGAATAAGATTCAAGATTCAGCTAGATATTTTCTCTGAGTGCATGTATGTTAGTTTTGTATTTGGGTACTGTCTGCATTTGCGTGACCCACATTAATCACGTAAGTCCACACCCGTACAGTTGCCCTTGCCCTTGCCCCTGCTGTTGCCCTTAGATGTGTCCGATCTGGAGCCTAAGCTCGAACCGGGAACCCTTCGGTTGCCTTCAGCAGAGCTCAGATGTCGCACCATTACATCCAATAACAAATCGCAACAAAATCACAAAGAATCGAATTTAAAAGCGAATTACAATCAAATGTATTTAAGCACCAAGCCGACCAAAATCTAACCTCCAACTCTAGCAGCTGTCAAACAGGCAAACACCCACAACCAACACACACCCAACTCTCAATCAAATACATACGAGCAGAAGCCGAATGAGAGCCCCCCAATTGACTTTGGTTGGAACGAAATAAAAAAGACAACAACCAGACACACATTTGTTGTATGAGTGTGTGTGTGTGTGTGTGTGTGTGTGTGTGTGTGTGTGTGGGTGTACCAATTGTTGACTGACTCGATTGAACTTTATATGTGTGTTGTTGTTTCCTTTTCGGGATCTTTTCTTTTTTTTATTTGGGTCTACATTTTTTATATGTGTCTCTTTCTGTGGGTGGATGGCGTTTTTATATAGTGCTGCTAGCGTCAATCCGTTGTCTTTGACGCCGACGGATGCTGTAAAACGACACCCCCGCCAACACATACCCTGTTCTACTCACACACACAGACACATGCATGCGCACATAACCTCAAATAGGCCGTTACGAAAAGAGAATAAGAAAAAAAAAAACGCAGTCACAAAGGCCACGCTGCATTGGTGAAAAAAAACCCACGGCTCCCACATGAAATCATCGAAATTACCTCCCTGATGGACTTAAATAAGTTTTTTTTTTTGTTTGGTTAACAATTTGACGGGCTCGACGGCAGTTACCTGATTGTCGCAGCCATCAGCACGAAAATTTGAAGTGAATAAGCCATCATCGTGCTGAGGCATCCAACGAGAACAGACTTCAGCGGACCACCCAACTTTTGAGTGGGTAACATTTGCAAGTAATGCTCAAATGGGCCAAACTTATGACTATGAAAATCAAAAATATTCATATGCTTTTTATGACTATAAAAGTCAAAAATACTTTCAGTGTAAGTCACATTTGAAATGCTAAGCAATAATGATGGAAACACACATTAATATTGACTAATTGTTTGGTATAATTGAGATGTTTACATTTATATTTATATGCTGAATACGCAAACATGTGTTTAAGTTCAAGAACACAATAGCAACGATTTTGTATTTTTTTGCATACTTGCAGGCGTCAGATATTCGTTTATACACAGTATGTTTATTGGCACCACCAAGCAGGAAGCTTGAGCACATACTCACTCATACAGGCACACACCAATACACACACACCAACACACATAGTCGCACCCACAGGCATCGATATGTACTTGGACACGGACATGGGCAGGCGCATGAAAACCAATAAATATTGTTCATCCACTCGAATGCTTTTTAACTGAAAATCGTTGAACCCTTTGCCACAACCCCCAAAAGGGTGCTACAAACTACACCAGTGTGTGTATGTGTGTGTGCGTGTGTGTGTGTGTGTATGGCATAAGCATCGATGAAAAAGCAGCAACAAACTACTCGTTGTATCCAGAAACAGATCGATGGCAAAGCCTCGACCGGCAGCAATACAAAAACTCTTTCGAGCCCGGCTAAAATGCAAGTAAACATTTCTTACGATATGCATTTTATCTACTTCTACGTTCCACACACAACACAACACAACACAACACAGCACAACACAACACAACACACATCCAACTAAACACATGCAAGGGCAAAATAGTAGAAGCTGGCTGAGCAGAAGCAGTAGAAGTTAGGTTACCTCACACATGGGAATGCCGTTCATATTCGTCAAGGATGCCAGACAGTTATGTGGCTCGATGGGTCCTTAAAAGACCCTCAGCTGTCTGCTCAACGCCCTAAGCGACTTGTGGAACCATTTTTAACATTCGTCCTAAGCACCGAATAGAGGTGGCTGTTTATGGGCACGACACACAGCATTTGAATGAAATCATTTTAAAAATATTCTATTTATATACATTTGTATATGTATTGTGTATTATAAAAAAAATATTGGGCTTGATTGACAATCCATATAATTGTTTGTTGTTTGGTGACCTTTTTTTACAGTTTTCAAATTATGTCTTGCGCTGAAGAGTTATTGACTCCCTCCCGACGGGATTCGAATTATATCGGAGTATGAAAAACTTAAAAATTCATTTATATAAAATATATATATTTAAAAAATATTAATACTCATTTCAGGAATAAAAAAATCTACTTTAATATTAATAGACTGCATAATCATACGTGATACTTTATCGATCTTTAATATAGAACAAAGATTGGCCTTATACATTTTTTTTGCAAGTCCAACCAAAGATAGGCCACCTCTAATGCAACAGCCGTTGATGAATTTCTTTGAGCAAAACATCGCTGCAACAATTAATCATGGTGCCAAAGCTAAAATCAAGGAAAAGCTAAAAAAATATTTACGCAAAAAAAAATATATATATATTTATATATATATAAAAATATAAGTACACATATATAATGTGTATAAAAAGAATTTAAATGTACTCTCTCTCTCTCTCTCTCTCTGGTGATAATTTAGCTGATGCTATAAAATAAATTATGTGTAGCTTGGGGGCTTGATAAAAGCGTGACAAGCCGTGATTTCAACTGTGTGTCAGGGGAATTGAGTGCTGAATTTGAATGTCAGTTTTGGACGACGTAATTCTTGGCGCTGCTTTTGTTTTATTTAAATTGTGTGCGTGTGCAAGGGGTGTGTGTGTTTGTTTGTTGGTTGGTTGGTTGGGCAACATTGCGATTGCAATAGCATAATAAATGAGCGACTTCAAAGGGTTACAGGGGCAGCAACTGCAATACTTGTTTAATTTATTGCCTTATTGAAAATTCCCATCGATTTTCAAACGACACAGAGAGAAAGAGAGAGAGAGAGAGAGAGAGAGAGAGAGAGAGTGACAGTCGCGAGAGAGAGAAAAGCAGATGGTGGGGCTACGGTGTTACAACGACGTTGCATTGTGGCGGCAACAGCAATAATAAATTTTCTAAATGTCATTAATCTTTTTGCAGTTGCAGTTGCTGGACAAGATCTGCTTCAAGGGGTCGCCAATGGGACCGACTCTGACTCTGGCTCCGACTTTGACTGGGACTCTGGTTGTGCGTGTGTTGGTGTGTGTGTGAATGTGGTGTGGGTGTGGCTCTGGGTATGGGTGTGGCTGTCACTGCTGGAGGGCTGCTTAGTTAGCTGCCACTTCAGTTGCCGCTTGATTTCTTAGTTTGCAATAAAACAACGTAATAAGATGTCCCGACTTTCCACTCTCACAACCACATCACACTATGTACATATATACACGTGTGTGTGTGTGTGTGTGTGTGTGTGTGTGGGTATGTATGTGTGTAGCTACATTTTTGCGTTCGCACTCACCACTTTTTAGGATGGCTGGTTAGTCGAGGATTCTAAGGCATGTTGCACAGCGACGTCAGCAGAATGCAGAAAGTTGTCCCGCCTTCTTTGCGGGGTAGATGAGGGTTTGGGGTGGGAGTTAGTGGAAGGGGAGATGGGAAAGTGCCCGTCAACATGTTGGAACGGTTCTGCAAAGTGCAGGCGATCCATCAACGTTGAAATTCGAAGTGAAATTTTCGCTTCCTGCTGGAGTTTGCAGCAGTTTTGTAGTTGGGGTCATTGAAGCGGCAACACTTTCATATGAATGCGTTCTGTTTCTGCACGGCTTGATAAATCCTTCGCCATCATCAGATTACCGATATCCATGCATATGCTTACCTATTCAAATTCATAAAAGTCATACACATTACACAACCCATTATGCTTAGATTCATTACCTTAATTGTATAATTTAATATTATAAATACACCTTAAGTCTTATTCAGTTTTTTTTGTTTGTTAAGAGGAGATCAGAATGTCTATATCTATATCTATATCTATATCTATATCTATATCTATATCTATATCTATATCTATATCTATCTCTATATCTATATCTATATCTATA